GATGAAAATAAGAGCCGATGAAAATTCAGGGATGAAAATTCAGACAAGAAGATACGTTATCAATAAGTACTTAAAAATGACAGGAACTCCAAAATATTCTTATAATAACTTTTAACTTCTTTAATTACTTTATGTTTTCCTACAATTAATGGCACTGCAAACAGTGGCTGCAAGTCTGTGAGGACCTATCCATTGACATATCCTACCTTAATGTAGGTAATTGTTACCGATTTAACAAGCAAATCTTTTCAGCAGAGATGTTTCTGGATGGTTATCTCTTCTCCTGAGAAGATTTAAATGCAGTAACTGGCTAAATACATGTAAATAAGTTCATAGCTAATTTTTAACTTATTACATTTTCAGTTATCTTGCAAGATACTTATTATTAAAAAAAAAAGGAAAAAAAAAGTAAAAGATTGCATTTCAAACCTGATCTCCATCTGCAATGCCAAGTTTCTCCGCTAAATGTCTGTTAATCTCTGCAGTGTTTTCAGTCTGGTGACCTCGATGCCTCATTTCCATCCAGCTCAGAAATATAGGCTGATGACCGCAGGATATTTTCACAGCCTGGCCCTATCAGTTTTAGAGAAATAAGATAAATTAATGCCATAACTGACTATGTACAGAATGAAGCTACAAGACTAGTAAAGCAGTTACACCCTTTCCCCCTCCCTATTGATAGAGAATTTGTAAGACATCCAGAAACCGCAGCAGGAGGGAAGCGAACGTGTGTGCTGGATTTCTTGCGACACGTACCTGCCCTTCCCTGACTCTCTTTTACTATGCCAAAGGGCAGGATTTTCCCAATCTTGGCAATTTTTCCCCTGTGCCATGTCTTTTTGGCCCTGGAGGGTGAGCGTGACCTTGCAGGGGATGTTGTACCAGAGCTGCTCCCACCCTCCCCACATTCGCCCCGGTTTTCTTTTCTTTAACGCTGTTCTTTGGGATTATTTTTTTTCTCCAGACTGTCTGTCCTGCTGGCAAGCCCTTAATCCCTAACTTCTGCTCGTTGCATAACGGATGCACACAGCCATGTGTGCATTTCCATGTGTGAAAAGTTACTTAAAGAGTAAGACCCCCTTCTGTCAGATGGGACTCTGAGTGAGAAGAGCCCCAAGAAACATATAGCAGAATACCCCCTAACGCCGAGAATTATGATTCTGCCTGGATTCACCATCCCGGTTCCCATGTGAACGCTGAGGAACGTGCCACAGGTGTAAGAATCACAACACTGAGGGACACAAACGACACCACACAGCGCGAGACAGCGCTCAAGAGGCAAACTCCAGTCACTTTATTAAACAGAACGCGCGGCCCACGATGCAGAGCCCTCGGATCGATGCCCCAGGCACCTCCCTAAGGCAGGGAGGACGGCTCCCAGTACCCCCACAAACCGCAACTCAAACCCCAGCCCCCCGGGTCCGCCATCACGGCCGCAGGACCCCATCCCTGAGGCGCTGCCGCTACGGGGCCGCCCGGGCCCCGCGCAAGGGGCGCCTCGGAGGGGGGGTGGGCGGGGCTCCCGGTTGCCATGGCGACCCCACCGGCGGCGCGCGTGCGGGGGGGGGCGTTCTCCCAGAATCCTCCGCGCGCCGCCCTCAGCCCGGCCCGGCCCGTACCTGCTGCAGGCGGAGGTGCGAGGCGAGCGCGGGCGGCAGGCGCAGGAAGCAGTCCCGGGTGCCGCTGAGGGCGAGCGTCACGGCCACGGCCCCGGCCGCCCCCCCGGCGGGGTTCCCGCTGCACCACATGGCGGTGGCCAGGGCCGGGCAGGGCAGGGCCGGGCCTCGCCACCCGGCGCACTGCGCGGGGCTGCCTGCTGCGGCGGGCAGGGCCCTCCCCCCCCCGCCCCCGGGGCAATGGTACGGCCAGCCGCCGGCCAATCGGGGCGCGGCGTGCGCGCGGTGCCTTCCTCTGATTGGCTCCTCCATCGAGCGCCGCGGCTCCTATGGACGGCGGCGCGTCCCGCCCCGGGGGAGGACCAATGAGAGGAGAGCGCCCGCTGTGCTCGCCGCCTGATTGGCTGCGCGCTTGGGCGGGCGGCTGAGGCGACAAGATGGCGGCCGGCAGCGGTGCCGGTACCGGGTCCGGCCTGGGCGGGGAGAAGATGGCGGCGGCGGGGGGGGGCAGCAGCGGCACCGGCACCGGCACCGGCACCGGGCCCGGTACGGGAACCGGGCCGGGCGGCGCGTGCCGGCACCACGAGCAGCTGGCGGCCTGCGGCTCCCGCGCCAAGTACCGCGAGGGGCGGCGGCCGCGGGCAGTGAAGGTGGGGCCCGAACCAGGCCGGGGCGGCCGGTGGGGGGGGGGTGAGGCGGTGCCGCGGGGCTCCCCGAGTCCTGAGTGAGCGGACACGGGTCAAAACGTTGTACAGGGGGACGGGCAGCATCCTGGCAGGATGTGGGGACATACATAAATCCCTTGAGTCGTTACTTGCAATAAAGCAACAATGTGAACGCTCTGTAATACTCTTACTTCTTCCAGGTTTACACTATCAACCTGGAGTCTCGCTACTTGCTAATCCAAGGAGTCCCGGCGCTAGGTGTTATGAAGGAGCTAGTGGAGCAATTCGCGTTATATGGTGCCATTGAGGAGTATCACGCTCTAGATGAATATCCAGCTGAGCAATTTACTGAAGTTTATCTTATAAAATTCCAAAAAGTCCAGTGTGCAAGGTATGGTGTGGAGCAATACCTGCCTCTTGTTAATTTTTTACCCCCTCTTCATTTATATTCTAGAGCGTTGAAGTAAAATTCTCAGTTTTGCCAATACGGTTTAATTCACTCCAGGGTGGCCAAGAAAAAAATGGATGAACGAAGTTTCTTTGGGAGTTTGCTGCACGTGTGCTACGCTCCGGAATTTGAAACAGTCCAAGAAACTAGGGAGAAGTTGCAGGACAGAAGAAAGTACATAGCAAAAGCAACAAACCAAAGAGGTTTGTATTTCAGTTTCTTATAGAATTTTAATGTCTCATTTCAGCGGAGGGTGGGTTGTGGTAAAAGCAAAACTGCCTGTTAAAGCAAATGCTTTGTATTTAGCTTTTTTAAAAGATGCATTTAAAGTATGCTTGCAGCAGAATGGAGACATCTTTGAATTATTTCTAGGTATCCATCTTTGTGAAAGCAACTTTTAGGTTCTAGTTGATACAAAAAATAAAAAAATCCATAAGCATAATGCATAAGCTTAAAACCTCCTTGTTTCCTTTTTTTTCTTTTGAAAACATTATCAGAAATTTAAAGCAGTGCCAGAAAACTTAGGATCACTTTTCTACCCTTGTTCCAACTTTTTCAGGCATATCCAGAAATATTTTTTCTAAGGAAGGTGATAATACCAGAAGCTTTAAAAAAGGCAAAAAACCCAAAACCGCAAACTTTTCTAGCTTGCATTTTGGCACTGGAAGAATGGGTTAAACTATTGTGCTGTGGAGTTCCCAAGCAGCAGTGAAGACTGGGCAGGCTTAAAATAAGCCAAGTGCCAGGCACGGGCTTCTTCTTTCTTGGCTTATGCATTTTGATATCATTGCAAGAGGTTATTTCTTAAGGTGCCACTTAAGAAAGAAGAATCACAGATTGTTTACAGGGAATGAAGTATCACTGCTATTGCTTGTGTTGTAATTAAATGCTGGAACTAATAGTGACCTGAAATAGTGAAGCTACTTTGTTTCTTTGTTTTAAAGATTGCTTTGTGTTAAAGAAGATCGAGGGGCCTAAGAAGACCGACCCCGCACACTGCCGTCAGTGGAGTACCTCAGGATCATGTGCAACTAGTGACTGGGATCCGTCCTGCTTTCCAGATTCTCATGGGGTATCCCAAAACATGGGATGTCCTTCTGGGAGTCAGAATCAGAGCCTGTTGACACTCCCCCAGTATGACAGCCACCGTGCTGAAACTTCTGCGTGCTGTGGTCAGAGCACATTGCTAACTCGAAATGTACCCCCAGGGGGGCACGGTCCTCCTGTGCCTTTAATTCGGCAAAGAACAGCTGTAGCTGACAGTGGGATTGGCAGGTTTATGCCTCGGACAACTCACCTGCAGGAACGTAAGAGGAGGAGAGAAGAAAGTAACAAATTTGCCCTCATTGAAACAAATACGGATAATACTGAAGTCATCATTGGCCCGCAGCTACCAGAAATACCTAAGGTGGATATGGATGATGATTCCCTGAATACTTCAGCCATGTTAATTCGAAATAAACTGGAAGAGGTATGGATTCTTAAAGTCCTGATTTCTCATTTTCAAGCACAGACTTTTAAGAAGTCTATTTCTAAAATGTGTGCCAAAACACGTTGTCCCTATCCTTTCCCTTTTCCTCCCAAATACCCAAGTCCAAAAAGTGTAGCAAACCTTACTTTGAAATACCTCTGGGATTGAGAGGGATGATAAAATAACTATCACTGAGCATCTGAAATCAGTTTGTGTGCGTGGTTCAATGTGTTTGTTTGTTGTTTTTTTTTTTTTTGATTGTTTTTAAAGGTGTTGCCAACACTTAGTATCTTCTGAGAGTTTTAGCTTTGCTGTGTTTAGTACTGCCTTTGGTGTTACTTTTCCCCCTTTTCTACAGGAAAAGTCAACACAAGTGTGATTCTAATAACATATGCCTCCCTGTACTCCAATATTAGAGACACAGCCTTACTCTAAAACTAGCATTATTAGAAAAGAATGTTTACAGTTTACTCAAAATCTTTTTTTTCTTTCCCATTTAGGTAGCAGAGTCTGTTTCAAGAACACCTGTGGAAAAGCCAGACAATAGTTCTGCCAAGCCACTTGTAAAGCAGAGAAGAAGAATATAGATACTGCTAGCAGTATCTTTCTACAGCCTTTTATAAAGGATATAATCTAAAATATTTTATTTTTTAATGTAAAAAAGTAACTTATATTGCATTTCCAAGCAATTCCCTGTTAAAAACTGTATCAGTTTATATTTTCTGGAATGAATAAAGCAGTATGATACTGCAGCAATCTTTTCCTGTGTACCTCATAATAAAATAAATGTGGTCAGGCAGTTTAATATAAGCAAATTCTATTTATTCAATATTTTTTTACAATAAAGCAATATTGAAATCACTAGTTCTGCGTTGTTTTTATTTTTACTATACCGTGAAGAAGAGAATGCTTGCAACAGTATTCCACATGGTGTTACAGTTTACGATTTCCCTTGAAGGTTTTCTTTTCAAATGCCAAACTGCCCTGTTATTTTTTTTTAATTAAAAAGAGAATAAAAGAAATGTTTTCAGTTGATTAAAATTTCAAGCTTTCTTCATGTAATGCTTTTGTTCATTGGTTTGGGGGTACGTAAGAATACATAAGTTGTCTTTATCTACAAAAGTATAGACCTAGTAAAAAGGCAACAGTTGGGTAGGGTGTAGAGCAGAAGATGCAAAGAGTGGAAGCAAGAATCAGGCTGAGTCTTCCACCTGTTGTCATGACTGGCCTGAACTGTATACCTGGTTTATCACCAACTTTGACAAAAAGCAAGTTATTTTTCTATTCTAATTAGTAAACGTAAATTTGATTTAGAAGCTGTTTCTAAAGCTTCTCATTGGTGTAAAAAAGAAATCAAAGTACTGACTCTGGGTCACTGAAACTCTCCTGACAGCCTGCCAGAAAGAATATGGCACTTTGAACACAGCTGCTTTGCAGGTGACCCGAGATGCCTTCCTCCTGTCTGGCCTACCTGGTAGGTGAGCTGGCAGGAAAGGAAAACACAGGTTTCCAGCAGATAAAAGCTTGCCTCATTTTCAACAGTTTCACAGAACTTTTCTGTTTCTGTGAATTATTGCACATATTTCAAAATCCTGTTTTCCATCTCTATGACTGTTGGTATTTAAAAATGTAATGCAGTTAAATAGGGTAATGATAGATAAGTGAAAAATACTCCTAGAGATTAGAAATGGTCTCATCAGTTTGACTTACTGAATAAATAAATGAGCATGCCTTAAATTACCATCTTATGGGGGGAAAAAATCCCTAAATTGAATTAGATGTATTGCTAAAGAGTTCCATCCACCTTGGCTTTGTTTAAGAATACCGCTGCTGCAGTCTGAGATGACACTCCCAAGGTATTTTTTTTCAGAAAGCTACCAGTCTCTCCCAAAATATTGATGGCAGTGGTGCCAGTAGCGCTGAAGAAAGAAAAATAAAACCTGCATTTCTGAAGAGGTTTCAGATAAACTCTTCCAAGAGAATAGTCTCATTTTCTTAGCCTGGGAAGATGCTTACTGAGAATCATTCATTATGTTGCTGTCCCAGAAGACAAAAGTGCCAAGTAACAGTGTGTGTTTTTTACATTCTCTGGTGCCAAAGTTTTACTGTATCAGGAAACATCTGTCCTGTGAAAGGCAGATGTGAACTCAGCACATGCGCAGCTCACAGCTGAAGCATTTATCCACTGAATTCAGCAGACCCCATGTAATGACAGTGAATACTATGATATGCATAGATGCTTAATAGAGAAGTTATTTGCACATATTTTTAAACCCAAGGCTGGCGTACCTTTATGTCCGGCAGACATGGTCCAAAGGCTTCTAAGAGAAGATTATCATCTCTCACAGCTTTTTCAAAGTCCGCAAAAGAAAGCTTGCCATCATGATCATGGTCCTATAAAAGGAGAACTCTTTAGCAAAGGATGATTACTTGTAGTAATTTTCTTTTTGTTTAACTAATGTTTTATTCAAATGGATTTTTTTTTTGAGTATATGCAAAAATTGATGTCCCATTGGGACACCAATCTCTGCTCAGACAAGATCTGTGTAATTAGCCTCTACCTAAGCCATAAAAGATGAAGCAAGCTCAACCATCTCTTATGGCTTTGCTAACAGAATTCCAGAGAAGGCAAAACTTCCAACATGGGAAGAGCTTGAACTGAGAATCTCACAGACAAATCTCAACCACAGATGCACTGGAATAAATAAAAGTAGGACACTTAAAAAGAGGTAACAGGAGGATAAAATGTCCTGAACAGGACAGCCTGCCCGTCTGCTTAAAAGAAATGGAAAATTGCTTGAGTATGCTCTACATTTCTACCATGAGCACGTCCTCTACAAATACCTTTAAGTATGAAAATCTATCACGGGACTGAATATATCCTTAATCACAATGCAGTTGTACCTACAGGCACTGGTCAATGAGCAGTTTTTTGTTCTTTGAGTGATGGATTCCACAAATGCCTTTCTTGTTATTTAATAATTAATTGTGTAGTTATTTAAGGTAGGCAGTAATATCCTACTCAGGTAACTGCCTAGCAGCCAAATCAGATCTGGACCTTCCAACATGTATCGGAGCTTTCTGAAGTTCTCATGGAAAAGCTGAAATAGGATTATGGACATGATTAGTTTATGGTATTTTCCTACATGTATGAATATTTCATTAGGTCTAGAGGGTATTGCTTGGGCTTGGACTTCTTGTAATCTACTTACCAACTACCCAGAATGTGGTGACATTCATTTTGGATGCAACCTGTAGGAAGCTGAGCATGTAGGTGCTCCAAAGATGAGTAATTGCTGTCATCTCGTATTCTGCATGAGACAGACTCAGCACTGTCAAGAGCTAAAGCTAAGAGGGACCTCTCATCTGAGGCTGTGCCTCACAGGGAATGTTTGAGAAATGAAAAAATGGGGTTAAATAAAAGGATTTGGGATTGGAGATCTGGTTTTAAGCAAGATGTTTTGAACAACACCATTGGAGGGGAAGTTTTATTCTTTGTTTTGAAGAAAATGGTGAAACACAGCCCCTGGCTGATTCAGATATCCTAGATTAATCACAGGAAGACAGGTGCTATATGAATAACCCTTGATGTTACAATTCTAATAGAGTATATCAACTGAGCACAGACATTCCATGCTCAATTGATAAAATACAAATGTAATTAATAGTAATGTTACTATAAATGCCTAATGCAGGAATAACTACAGATTGTGCTTCTGAATTTTCTGCTTTTGATTGGGCTTTTCTTTTGACCATGCACATGTGCATGTGCAGTTACACGTGCAAGTTTTTACATACCATTTATAATATGTTCACATAATAAATTAATAGTTTTGTGTGAGGACACTGGACTGGGACTCATTGGATCTGGATTATACTTCTAGCTTTCCTTACTAGACTTGTTTATCCTAGGTACGTAACTTACTCTGTGGCTCAGAACCCCACTGTAAAGCAGATAACAGTGTTTTGTTACCTCGTAAGAATGCTCCTAAGGTCTGAATGGTTGAAGATGCTCAAGTATCACAATGAGAAAGTACTTGCCATTTTCTTCAGTGCTATGTCTACCAAGTCCTTAATTCCCTCATCAGGATCTTCTTCTGATGGCTGCTTGAGTAGGCTGTTTTTCAGCATCTGAAACATCTCCTCTCTTGAAATGTATCCGTCACCATTCAGGTCATAAACCTCAAAACAGTCTTTTCAAAAGATAAATCAATTTAAAGTTCATACCAACTATATCACACATCATTAAAGCTGTTGCCTACAGACAGAAAACAGGAACTGTATGTAATACAGCATATGTCTTGAGCATATAAAATTTCTATATGAAATGTATGTATCACATGTGATACTGGTCTATTACTGCCTACTAACCCATTATAGTTAAAATCTATTTCTGCTCAGATATATAATAAATAACCTTTGGTTTGTAGAAACCGTACTAACCTACAGATCTTAACATCTCTAAGAGTAGTTTTTTAGAATATAAATGAGGTTTTGGTTTAGAAGTCTATCTTCCAGTGTATCCTAGTTATTTCAGAAACTGGTTTGGAAAAGTAGAGGGAAAAAATAAGTTGTACAGACATGGAAAAAACAACTGAAGCATCTCTAAATGCGAAGAGAAAATCTCTACAATGGAATATTTCCCGTATGAGTATCTGCCTAATTTCTATTTTAATTGCTTCTGCCTCCCTAAAATCAGAAATCTAGGACCATAACAAATTTTACTATCCTTCACAAAACTTATTTAAAAAACAAACAAAAGTTTTTCAGTTTTGAGACACAGATTATTTTTTTTTTCCAGGCAAAGACTTTGTCTAAGGGCAAAAATTGTACTAGCATACACTTAGGACAAACAACACTGTGTACCACCACACAGCAGTGTATCCTAGAGTGCTTACAACAAGGCTGCATATTTTATAGCCTGTGGTTGTTCCTAGCGGGGTGACATCCCAGGCTACCTTCCAAAGCAATACCTTATGATGACAATATATAGCATATTATGGATGGCTGATGCTGCAGACAGGGAACTATGGAAATAAATGCTGTCATCTTTTTTCTATTATACTCCCCTCCAGTCCTTTTTTTTTTTTTTTTTTTTTTTTAATCTTAGAATTCTAGGGTTCTTAGGGTTCTTGCATTTTTTTTCCTCTATCTTCTTTTTCCATCATTACTCTGGAGGTCCTCAAGACCATCTTGCAAACAGATTCACAGTTTTTCCATCTCTGCTTCCAAGCTGAAGAACTGCTAGAATTAATACAACTGCTGCTGTGCCCCCCACTGGGCAAGTAAATGAATGCTGGCACAGATCTTAGCTGGCCTGAGGAGACTGTTACTCAGCCAACACCACCCTCGTCCTACATCTGTTTACTTCTGATTTTGCGTGTGAATACAAAAACATATATTCTCTCTAAACTATATAATAGAACAAGCTTTTCTTTGTCAGCAACAAAATAAGGTGGCTGTTTGCACAGAATAATCTCTGTCTCAGAGCAACTATTTCAAAACTCTGTTTTTATTGAGCTTGACAGAAGAAAACTCTTCAATTACTAAATTCTTTTTGAGTAACTAAAAAATTATAGTGGAAGTGATGTATAATTTAATAGTCATAAATCTATGATAACTACTAAATATTATCATGCAGATAAACCTTACATTTAATCCTTTCTTCCAATGTCCCCCGAAGAAATACTGATAAGCCTTCCACCCATTCCTCCACACTGATGCAGCTATCATTGTCTCTATCGAAAGTGCGGAACACTGGGAAGTTATTAGATACATTTTAAATTTATAATAATAGGAAAACACAAAGGAAAAAAAAAAAAAACTTAAATTCAGTTAAAATATGTAAAAACCTTTTTTTTCTTTTTTTTTTCTTTTTTTCCAGAAAATGCTTTTCTGCTTTCTTGAATCTTTCTAAGCCATAACAATAAAGAGGATTTCACCACTCTGTCTACTGATCTTTCACTCCAGAATCCTGCTGGGATAATGTATTTTCTTTGATCTGTTACTTTACAGACTTTAATAACTACAGGAAGCATGCTTCCATGCAGACACAACCCAAATAAACCAATATGCCTTACATTAAGGCTTATTTGCATACAGAGGATTAATTACTCCTTTACATGGAGAGCCAACAGAACTGGAAAAAAAAGTCTTCCTTTTGCAAACTGAAATCAACCCTTTGTAAGCATTAAAATATTAAGAATGTGTCCCTGTAGTGCATTTTCCAAGAAACATGATTTTTTTTGCATAAAATGGTGTTTTCATTTAAACACTCCCCTGTTAAAGAGCTGGAAAAAGTTGAACCAAGGGGTCTCTTTTGGAGACCTGAGATCGAAAAGGATGACAGTCTCATGCCTTCTTCACATCTTCTTCTGGACACCTATACATCAGAGATCATTCATCAACTGCAAATAAGGCCCTCATTTCATTAATCTCTGTATTTTCAAGTATTTATGTTGGCTCATCACTCTCATCGCCCTCTACTGCCTGACTAGTATCTCCAGCGTCGTTCAGAGCACCTCTGTTTCAGAAGTTATCCACTTAGTGGAGTACTTTTCTGGGACTTCAATTCTAAGACAGAGCCATCCATCCACCAGTTGCAATGACTAACTCCTTGGTGGATCACAGCAGTAAAGAGGAGAATGACACCATGCTGCCCTCTTCTGTCATGACACTAATGGTGACTGGGCTATAAGCATCCAAATGCTAGCACTCCCAGCTGCCTCTCTGGCAGATCTCCCTTGTACAAGAGCATGAGCTATCCTAAACCACTGGGAAAACTATTCTATGTACAGAAATAAAGGTATCACTTTACTCAGCAGCACTTGTACATGGCTCTTCCTTTGCCATCCTTACATGGGTGAGATGGCACTATTTTGTCCAGGCATGCTCATTGGGTCTACCGTGTACTTTTTTCCCTTCTGTATGGGTTCTTCAGACCTTCTATCTCCCTGCCAACTAAACTCACACTGGGCAACTACTTGGAACTATTGTGGCACAGCCCACATAAAACTTTTCTGTTGTCAACTTTGGCAGTGATCAGTGGTGTTTTCTTGGCTATAGGGATCCACTATTCTTGTAGGAATCAGAAAACAGATGGGAATTAGTTTAATATAACCTGGAAAGTCTTCAAGGGCACTGTTTTAGGGATCACTTATTCAAAAACAGCTGCCCAAGGACTAAAAATGAGTTTTACAACCTTTTTGAGCCTACTGATCTCACCTCTGTCCATAACCATGTCATCCGTCATGCCGAACGTCCTGTGCAGGGTATCCCTGAACATGTTGCGATCGAAGCCGACTGTACCAAACCGGTCGCTGGACGTGGTCACCAACGTGTCGAAGAGCTTGATGAGGCATTCCACCTCACTTTTATTAACTGCCGAGCCGAAACAAGAAAGCACATTTTATACCCTAAGCTGTTAATCGGCGGCGTGTCCAGGAAAGCCACAGCTCCCAGCCGCCTCAGGCATCCACCGGGTCCTGGCGATGCTCAAACCGCCCCCAACCCGCCATTTGCTGCTCCTAAGGGATGGGAGCGCGTAAAGTCACCAAACGACCCTCGGGGGACCAGAAGCTAAAGGGGGACAACGCGGGGGGGGGCTGCCGAGGGGCAGCAAACGCCCCGACACTCACAGTGCCTGGCCGAGCGGCTCAGCGCCTCCACCTGCTGCTGCAGCCGCTTGGCGCTCATGGCGGCGGGCGCTCCCCTGGCAACGCGGGCGGGGCGGCCCTCGGCCCGACATGGCGGAGGGCTGGGCTTCGGCGCACGGCTGCGGGACCGCCTCAGCGCCTGTCTCCGCAGGGCAGGGCGGCGATGAAGGCTGGCAGCGCCGCCTCCAGCCGGCCAGGGTCGGCAGGGCCCGCGGGCATCCAGCCGTTTAGCACCGTAACCGCAGGGTCGGGGGCGCTGACAGGAGAAGGGGGGCGGCGATGTTCCCTTCATCGCCTCCAGCCACCAGCCTCGCAGCGATGGTATGGGACAAGAGACACCAAAACGAAGCAGCTATCGACTTTCAGAATACGTGTTTTTTTTAATACTTTAAATATTTTAATACTGCACACTGGTATCATAGCCTGGGCTGCCTTCTCATAAAGCCACACCTGCTGACCCCTTTCAATACAGGACAACCCTCCTCCCCCCCATACTTTTTCCCCGTTGCTCAAACTTAAAATATTCATCCAGGTTGGCTGGTGCCATACCATTTAAGCTTAATTTCTCTGCTCTCTACTGAAAAGGTTTAGATTTCAGGCCATCCCAAATGCTGGCCCGTTCTGAGTCTCCCTCCTCGACATCCCCACTGCACCAGTGCAGGCCTCTTTCCACAGCGCTGTTGACTACAAGTTAAATGGAGAACTAACAAGCAAAGTGCTCTGCCTCTGCTAGAAACCAACATTACCTTCTCAGATATATTCAGTGTATACGAATCAAGAAAGCTGAGATATTGCGACCAGACTTTACTCTTCCTTCAAGAAAAAAAGATGCAAGAGGAGTCTCAATGTGGTTGTCTAATGTATTGAAAACTGAAACATTTCACTGTGGACACGAAAGCAGCTTTGCTGTGAACTGACAAAGCCTGTAGCTCCTTAAGTAGCTACACCACTACCAAAGCTTTGCAACGGTATTTGAAGCACACAATTGACAAGAACAAGTAGTTATATTCAGACAATTAAAATGACATAGCGGCATATGTATTTGGAAGACTGGGGCCCTCATTCCCATTTTTTATTTCTTTCTGTTGCAGGTAGTTGTGTAAAAGTCAAAAAAGGTATCACGCAGAGCAGAGCATTTATGATATGGTTCATTACAAGTTCTTTTACCAAAACTGCGATGTCACAACTTAAAACAAAAACAAAACAAAAACTGCAAACCAACCCCCTATTATTCACTGCCTTTATTTTAACCTCACTGTCAAAACAGGGTCTAGAATCAGTAGCATCAAACCCAGCAGTATAAAATACTTGATCAAAATATTTAGCATATTTTAGAAGTACACTGCTGCAATTCAAGACTTGTATTTTTCTAAGAACTTACTAGAAAAGTCAATTTTGAATGTCAATGCTAAATCATCTTTCTCCCCCAGTTTTTAGTTACAATTTGCAGACTAATTATCCATTAACAAAGGTCTTAAAATTCTTGGCAATAAAATATTTGAAATGTTGTATGTAACAGAGATAAGTTAGAAGTTAGCACCTGTGCAGTGGACCATTAAAATAACCTCTAGTTGACCATTCAGGATAGGTGGGCAGTTGTTAAAGACTAAGAAGAGCAGGCCCAGCAATGGGTACTTGTGGAAGCTAATAATGAGAATTTCATGTAAAAACTAAAATCAAATGGTTGCTTGTGTTTTCATGAGTGCACATTTAATTTATAAAAGTGTGTTTTCAATTTCTAAAGCAACTAATTTAAAGTAAAACAGCTTTATGATTTAGGTCAACATTCCGTAGCCCTCAAGTACAAAAATATAAATACAAACTGTTTAAACAGTATCTTTAATGAGATTCTGGCAGTATTTTTTGTTTTTAATCTTAACAAGATGCATCACATAACAGGTCTGCCACTGAACTTGCTTAGAGTAAAATCAGCTTCAATATGAAGCTGTTATGGTATCAAAACCCTGCTTTTTACATGCTAAATATCTTCAGCAAGTGTGCACTTAAACACAGCAATGAACTTAACTATAACTAAATACATACATGAAACTCTGCTTGTGGAACATAACTCATAAACTGGTTACAACAAATGATTACCTGCATTTTCATTAATTTAAAAAAAGGGTACAAATCATGCAAAACAACTCTAAAGATAATGCAAAGGAAAAAAGCTACCAGTGTTTGCAAGAAGTGTTCAACTAAACCAAAACTGTATTAAATGAAATATGCATATTTACTAGCACAGATCTATCGCTATTGCAAAGAAGCAGAGGTAAAGTCTTCTGGCTTTGAATGTCAGTTATACTGCAAAATGTCATTGCTCTTGCTTAATGCAGAAGCACATGCTTAGAAGCCCAGAACTGCTGACAATAGTTCTGCTTTCCCTAGGATCAGAGATGCTGCATGGATTTAAAATAGCAGAGATTTGCAAGGATCAAAGGCAAAGGCACCCTATTCAGTTAGCCAAAACGGTAGCATTCCCTTTCTCAAAAGCATAAAGATGGTAATGGGGCAGATGATAAACATTACTACAAAGGCAGCATTTTAAATGTTATCATTAATTTTCCATTTTGTAAATGCCACTCGCAGACACCAGCTTGTAATTGTTTATGTATAATATAAACCTACAAGATGAACTTGGGATTTTATTTGTCCTGATTTACAAATAAAGACTATTACTAATGCTTTAAAACACTACTTTCAGTATCTAAAAAGTTTAACTCTTATTTTCCAATATTTTACATCTCAGCTGGACTACCACCTCATATTGTTTCAAACATCTAATACTGCTTATTGGAATTTTATAAAAGTTGTACCTCATGTATTAAGCAGCAGGCAATAACAATGGTCTTTCCCAGCACAGCTGCATGTGGCTGGCTACTGAAAGATTAGGAATATTTCTAGAACACAGGAAAACTCATGCAGTTTGGTAAAGTTTGTCATCATTTCACAGTTTAAGTTTCCTTTAGTCATTGCACTTCTGTTGATAGTCTTGCTTTTTAAATACTATTCTGAATCTGAATTTGAACCAGCAACCTTCTTTTTCTTCTTTTTACCATGCTTCTTGTGCTTCTTTCTCTTTTTTGCTTTGTCCTAAAAAATAAAATGGAAGTTATGAGAAAATCACCATCTATTAAATTCCACTAATGAAAAATGACAGTACAGAAAGCACAGTTCTACAAAGACATTTCAAAAGATGTTTCTGTAAGAACCCATGATATTTCAGAAGAGATTTATATAAAAGGCTGTTTAGAAACCATGAAAAGAAAGTTCATATTTTATCCAATAATTTGTACTATTATGAGCAGCTTTCAATTTATCTCCATCGTGGTCTGGCTATTTCACACCTCTCAGCACCATCACTATTATACTTCCTCAACTTTTAAATGATTTTTCAATGCTTCATAGATTTCTGAGAGAATAAAGTGTTTGACATCTTATATATGTGAGAGTAACTAGGATGATTACAGATTTATAAGTTGTAATATTTACAGTGTAGTAAATATTAGTATTAGGATGATGCAGAGATTGGGTCCTAAGGCTCATTTCATGGCCTGGCAGAAGAAGTTTGCCAAGGAATAATTGTACACAATACTCTGACAAAGGAACAGCATTGATGTCTACATGGCAAACTGCCACACCACCTCTTATTGTACAGAAATTAGTGTTTCTTTCAGTTTGGTACAGAGTAAAACATATTTTGACTTAATGCAATAAACGTTAAATAAATCTCAATTCATACGTATCTAAAAAGGTAAAATAGTGACATTTTTTTCCCTTAACTACACAGCTGAAAAAGTGACTTCAGCAGATAAAGAGAGAAATGATGAATCTAGATTCACATGACTTTTTCTAAAAAACATTTGTGTTACTGAAAAATGTGAAATTGTAAATTAACCAAGTACAGAATATTTATATCCTAAAACTACACTATGAGTAGGAAGGATACTTGCTGTTGCTTTCTCTTTTTCCTCATTGCTTTTCTTCTTTTTTGCTTGCACCTAAAAAAAAATAAATTGGATGTAATGGGATAATAGCTTTGGAAGTGCCATTTTATATGAAAGTTTGAGCTTTTGTTGCATATAAATGAGTGATGGCACAACAGTGATAGAACACGATGAACGGTAACCACTGAAGAAACAGTGACTATGTTAGATTCTGGAATAAGCATAAGCATCTGATGTGGGAACATTCTGCTATTAAAATATAGCAGAACAAGAAGCCAGCGAAGATGTACAGGTAAAAATATTAAGCGAAAAACTTGGTAGAAATTCTTAATGAAAAAAACATCACATTGGAACCTTTTCAAATTTTGTAATTCTACAGGAATACAAATCCTGAAAGTAAGTATACACAAGGTTGAGAGTACAATTATTATGTCCAACATTTTTTTAATTCAATGGAAAAGGCAGCAATCTTGGAATTTTTCTTGTCTGTACTCTAATATTAGACAGAAATCTTCTGAAGCATATCCCACCGCTTAGACTCAATTTATTAAATTCTAAAGTATCCATGACAACTTGCAAAATTTCAAGAAAATTAATTCAGAATAACCTGTAGGTGGTTGGAGTTGCACTAAACAGATCTTACTGTAAGTTTTTATTATAGAGAAAAATATAACTTTGAACATGCTGCACACTTAAAGTCAACTGTACTGAGCAGAACACCTTTAATAATATATTAAATCTAAGCTATTTATTTACTCATGTCAATCAGCAAACTGAAATTCAGCTTTCATACTGACCTCCTCTGTCTGATCCGATTCGGATAAGGATTCTGATGATAAAGGTCCGTCACCACGATCTGCCTTCTTCCTTTTTCTGTGGTGATTTTTGCCATCCTGCATAAAGTATTGGTGAGTAAAGTTAAGCCCTTCAGATTTCATGAAACTTCCACTTAGAATTCTACTGAAATAATATTTCTAAGTTATAAAATATTTTCAAATGCTGTATGCATTAAACTAATTACTCATCATCAGCAAATTACCCTACTGTTAAAATGCTTTCAGTGGAAATAAAATCATTTTATGTGCATTGCTTTCGTTACCAGAATAGAGCAACTTTTTAAGAGTGACAGAATAATAGCATACTATAGCATCTTATTTTAAATAAAGACATGTGAAAGAGCAAGCATTTTAAAATAAAATGTTTCACTATTTTAAAATAGTACTGAGTAAATTGAAGATGTCACAATATGTGCAAACACTGCAGCTTCAGACTCTTGCTTGTTTGTTGATAAAAGAAGCTCCATCCTACCTGCGCCTAACCTGTCCCCACCAGCTATATCTTCAACACTTTATATAGGTAATTCCAGTATATTTAAAGAGCAGTCTTAAAAAAAATATCAAATGCTCATAATTTAGATGGTGCATGAGCTTACTCCAACAAACCATTTTTTTCTTCCCCTTTCTTAGACCAGCTTTGCTCTGGACCAGGCTACTTTCTCCCATTCCACTCATTGAAGCTACTTTCTTCCATTTCATTTCTAAAGCCAGAAACTGTAAAAATTCTTCTTAATCATCTTTTTCAATAGTGAAATCACACATCTCAACAATCCTATTTAGTGTATTGTAAGTACCATCATCCTTTCCTAAAAGTAGTTATGAAAAATACAGATGATGTAGCCCATCTGAGAGGGCATCTTCAGATCAGGAAAATCTCTAGTTCCCCAAAGCATTCTACTTTCAGAAGAGG